ACTGGGATAATTGGGATGGGAGTGTCAGAGACAGTGCGATTGGCACAGGACAGAGCAGAGTTTAGGGCTGTTGGACATAGAGTTGCTATGAGTCGCAAGCAACAAGACGGCACATAACAACTACAACAACAACAACAATGTCCTGTCTTTTCTTACACTTTTGTAATGGAGGAATTAATAAAGCCCCCCTTTTTTTACCCAAACTAAATTATTAGATCAAACACTGTACTTGCTGAGTTTAGCTGGTCTTTTGAGTTGTTTACCTCCCGAGGACTTCATGTTTGCTGAGTTGCAGTCAACCAAATCAATTCAATATTTTCACATTGTCATTTGGGCCTTAACAACTATTATTTTAAAAAAAAATCATTCCCCAGCTTAAACTCATTGACACCGAGTTGGAACCAACTCAAAGCTGACCCTTCACTAGATTTTCAAGGATGTAAATTGTGCAGGAGGAGGCTGCTTATCTATCGCCTTTGGAGCTGGTGGTGGAGTTCTCTCGAATGTCAAGCGAGACATTACCTTTGGGTTAGCAGTTCAACTCTCAATGGACTTTGCCATCAAAGTTCTCTAGTCTTAATTGCTTAGTGTTGTTGTTAGATGCCATCGAGTACAACTCAGAGTGACTCTATGAAAAGATACCTGAACCTAGTTTTGTTTATAAAGTAGTATTTATTTCTTCATGACAAGGATGCAATAAAGATAATTGTTTGAAAGGATTTATAGCAGTTCTCCAGACAATTTAAAGGGTTTTTTGTGGAAAGTGGTGTGGTGCTTTCTCAAAAAAGTTGCAAATAGAAATAGCATTTGATCCAGAAATTCCACTACTGGGAATATATCCTAAAGAGACCATAAACGACATCCAAGCAGATATATACACACCCATGTTTATTGCTGCTTTGTTCACAATAGCAAGGAGTTGGAAGCAACCTAAGTGCCAATCAACAAAGGAATGGATAGAGAAGCTGTGGTATATTCACACAATGGAATACTACACTGCATTGAAAAATAAACTCATGCAATATTATTGAAAATGGGTGACCCTGGAGGGCATTATGCTGAGTTAAATATCTCACTCCCAAAAGGAAAAATACTATATGGTGCCACTGTTGTAGAATGAGGCTGACATCAAGGTGGTGTTAAGACTGAGAAAAACTGGATAAATTATGCTTACTGCATTGAAGCCAATGAGGGAGAGAATAGTTTTAAAGTAATATATTTTAGGGCATTATGATTATCGTAAGAGTCCGTAATGAGGCTTGCAGAGTGGAGCATACTCAGGGTGGGGGTGAGGGTGGGGTTGTGTGGGGGGATTGTATACCAATGAAGAACCTTTGCTTTTCAAGTAGAAGAGTGAACGGAGGGGGGGGGCACGGATAAAAGGGCAACAATAAATGAATGGAAATCCAAAATCTCTGTAGATGTTCACTGAATAAAAACAAAAAACGGGGAGGGGGGCAGGTTTTAAAAGTCTATCTCTTGAGAGTGAGGTCTTGGTAATAAGTTGACTATTGCAAAATTGCTTAGATGATGAAAGCACTTTTAAAAATCAACCAGTGATGTTTGCTCCTCTTGCTGGAAGAATACATCTGATTGTAAATCTGTGGTTAGTTCCTGAAATCTCTCACCTTAAGCCTCTCACTTATATCATTTTGTAGCCCTTTTTCCTACCTCTGACCCATCCTCTTTGTGACTTCAAACAAAGACTAAACCAATCAAATGACCGCATTAAAATGTCTTGGCTCTCTGGGTTATATCTGGTTTGATTAGAATCTCTTGGGCTCTCAATTCTCGGTTATGTGGGCTGATGTCTCCTTGATTTCAAATGTACTCCCTGCCAATAAATCTTCTTGAACCCATTTAATGGGTTCCTACAACATTTTCACTTAATTTTGCCTCTCTGCCATCATTATTCGGCCTCAGCCAGCCTTCATGCAACCATGAGGTGACAATTAAGAGGAAAGTTTCATGCTTTCACAGCAGACATGGAAGGACCCTGGAAAGTTGATGACATCATTGCATCATCTCATCAACCCTCAACTAGCCCTCTAATTTTTCACAAGAGAAAAATAACCCGTAAGCTGTTTTGGATGATCTTCAGCAGTATTTTGCTTGTGTGTGATATTAATGTTCAATAGTTTCTACATTCAGTTGGAACGCCTTTCTTGGGAATGGGAACAAATACAGATGTCTTCCCATTTATTGGCCAGACAGTTGTCCTCCAAATTACTTTGCATAAGGTGTTGAGCACATCCAAGCCTGCATCTGTTAATTAAAATAAGTCAATTGTGTCCCATCAATTTCTGTGGGGTTTTTTGCTTTCTTTTTTGTCAAAACCTTCAATGCAGCTTTCTCCTTCATTACATTAGCTCATGTTCATATGTTGTTATACCATAGCCTCAGAACCAAACCATAGTTGACCCTTTTGCAGTTTGAGATAGTTAATCGCACAGGAGGAGAATGCCTTCTTCTCTTTGAGGCTGGTGGCCTCAACTGCATGTCTTTGGGGTTGTAGCATAGCGTCTTGCCACAAGGCTACCAGACCTTCCTCTGCTCATGTGGTACTTCTGATATATTTTAGTGTCAAGTAGTTCTTTCTGCTACAGTGATTCTGTGTATTCCCTTCCATCTTTTGATGTTTTC